AATAATCCAAGATTCAGTAATAGCTACCAGATATATTCCTTATTCAAGCATTTGAGCATGGAGCTCACCGAACTTGTTTCTGATCTTCTTGTAATTGCATAAAAGCACCTCAGTTTTCCTACATTTGTTTCGGCTGATTGTTTAGCAATTTTGAATGTTCATTATCCATGTGCTCTATGTTCACCCTCCCATCCCCAGAAGCTCGTTTGCCCGAAGAAACTGTTCGAACATCCTACTCAGGACGTACACACCCTTCTCAGAGAAGTAAAGTCCATCCCTCTGATACATGTCTATGCAACTGAAAAACCTGCTTCACTCGTCTACAAACGTGAAACCTAATTTTTTGAGACGTTTTCCTACTCAAAAAGCCCGTCGAAAGGGCCCTAATCCAAACAACCAAACCGACGTGCTGGAATCGTGAATAGCTTGCACAATATTGGTTGCGAGCCAGCTGACGGCCGTTACATATGGAAAGCGTGCTCACGAATGCTAGATATGAAAATTGCAACAATTACATCCTTCTTGATTTTGAACGCTGCATGGCCGATGAAATGGCAGGATTTTAATGACGGTATTACGGTTTCCTGGGTGCCTTGGTAAATTTGAAATTGCCTACACGAAAAATTCTGCATATCTTCGCAGGTGTACATCAGAGGCTAGAGGGTTTAGGTCTAAAGAAGGGCAGGGCTGCAAATTGCGCCGAATGATCTTCAAAATAGATATTTCAATTCAAAGTCACATACAAATGTAGTATACTTCCGGTAATAAAATGCTGGTTGAGGTCATACTCACAGCCATAGCCATACATCTTGCAATTCTATTCTTAAACCCGCATGCCTGCAACGTGCAAATTGATAGGTAAGACAATACGAATAGCCTTATTCCTCGCAGAAGACATAACCATAAACGTGGAAAGATAGGTGTATTGATATTCCGGCACCATGTCTTTATCAAAACGAATCAGCACTGATACTCGTTTTGATAAAGGTATGTAGCCGAAATACCAATCCAGTTATCTCTCCACTCTCCACGTTATTTTCAAGGAATAAGGCTATTAGTATTGTCTTGCATCTATATGCATGCGTGCATCTATATGTGTGCATTTTTACTCATATTGTCCCTCGCAAATTCACATAGCAGCTTCAGCCGTAACGTACAGATCACGTTATTCTCTTTATTTCGGGGAAATTTGGTGATGCGCCGTGCCCTTTCGAAATCAAGCGGGCTGGTGCTGGGGCCACAGAGGGCAGAGCGGCGTACCGACAGGCGCTGTCGCATACTGCCCCTCCTGCCCTCTTTGCCGCGACTGGGTTGTGTCGCCGTGCTGTGTCGCTGTGTCGTTGTGCTGTCTCGCTGTGTCTCCGTGCCGTGTCGCCGTGGTGTGTTGCTGTGTGGCCGTGCTGTGCCACTATGCCGCCGTGCTGTATCGCTGTATCGCAGTGCCGCATCGCTGTATCGCCGTGCTGTATAAGTTAAGCGGTGGTATGACGTCTGACCTGGCAGCACACGCGGCGCTGCTGGTGAGACTGCCGATCGTTTCGGCGTTCACGTGTGATGCCGGGAAGCGACAGAATGCAGTGATGCCGGGAAGCAGTGTGCAGCGCAGTGTGCAGATTCACGTATGATGCCGAGAAGCGACAGACCAATTATCTGTGTGCAGAATGTTCAAAATGCCCCATAGTAAGTCTTCGTACCCCGAGCGTACATCAATAATTCATGAGGCAGCGTTCAACCGGTAGGGACAAACTGCGCAGTTTAGTCAGCGCTGGGCTGCCTCGCTGGTGCATTGGTAAACCTTGAAGTAAAACAGCGCATGCTGCCAATGTCAACGTTTGTCGTCATCTATATGCACGACTGGTACTGTTCATGTATATACGAAAACTTTGGGATTGGGCTTTCGTGATTCCTAAATGATATGCCCGTAATAAGACGCGTAACTTCCCGTTGATAAATGTTATTTAATAATAGGTATGCATGTTCTAGCCCTAACGAATATCTTCCCTGACAGGGAGGCTCTCTATGTGGGGGCGGAAGGGCTGCCCGGCTGTCGTTGTTGTTGGCTTGTGTCACAGGCTGTCGCTATGCGCTCTTGCTAGGACGCCTACCTGGTTGCTCTATGGGAACAGCTTACATGCTGCGCATGCCACCTCACCAATGCAAAACTTGTGTGAGGAGCCCGTTGGTCAGCCTACGAGCCGGGTGATGTTCGTCGGCGCACGTCTCGGCACGTATGACCTCCGGCACCCTCGACATCTAGCACACACATATGTAGTGGACTATTATGTAGTAAATTATTGGTAGTGGATTCTCGGACCGGCATTCAGCCGGCCCAGCCAGTGCTTAACCGGCGCGGCCGGCTATGTCCGTGCCTTCGGGCTACCGGCCACGTGACCTGGCCAAGGTCGCATGTACGGGCGAGGGCGGCCGCAGGCTTGGGGCAGGGACGGCCGGGTGCAGCCGGGGATTTAAGCGTGTTCGGGACCTGACAGCGAATGTATTGACCTAAGTGAGGTAGGGTCTCCACCTACGCACAGACATGTGAGCTGCATAGCTGGGGTGAAATGGGTGACTGGTGCATCGGTGGAACGGTAAAACCAGCCAGGCGGCATCAACGGCGAGGGCGGCCGCAGGCTTGGGGCAGGGACGGCCGGGTGCAGCCGGGGATTTAAGCGTGTTCGGGACCTAACAGCGAATGCATTGACCCAAGTGAGGTAGGGTCTCCACCTACGCACAGACATGTGAGCTGCATAGCTGGGGTGAAATGGGTGACTGGTGCATCGGTGGAACGGTAAAACCAGCCAGGCGGCATCAACGGCTGTCTCGCCATGTACGGTTGTGCGCCCTTAACCATGGTATCCTACTTATTACCTACGGCTATTTAGCCGGGGGTGGGGTAAAGGGGCTGCTAGATATTAGCTTGGTAGCCTGATATCCTTAAAGTGAGCATGTCACCTTTTTGCACTTTTCACTTGGTGTTGGAGCAGACGCGTCCGATTTGATCGATAATACCTGTGTTTTTTTTTTTAAAAATCGCTCTCAATAGCTCCAGAATTTCAATTTGAAGTAGCTGCTCCTGCGGGAGAAATCTCGCTGGAAACCCCGCTCACCACTACGAAAGTGATGCATTTAATTTGCTTTGCTTTTCCACCATGTGTGTTCTGTGATGTTTGCAACACGCTAGTTTGTCTTAATGTTTGTGTAATAAATGCTATGAAAGCTGGACACACTGTTTTAGAGAAAAAATATGCAAACATGCGGCTACAATCCCCGAAGTTAACGACACCCTATGCTAGGCTTTTTCCTCCTTTTTCCCTTCGTAGTTTTTATGGCGTTTAGCACGGTAACTCTTTTCGAGACGCACTTAAGCTTTTAGAAACGGAGTGTCTTATCGCCCACAGCCGCGCACTGCTTCAAGCTTCAAGTAATGGGCTTCTCGTTAAGTTAAAACAGCTGGAAAATGGTACCTCTAACCTATAACAGCTAACAGCCGCCAGCAGATTCTGCCGTCGTCACGACGACGGCGGTTGCCGTGACGCCGACGGACGCGACAACCGCAGTTGTCGCGGACTCGGGGTACAATCTGGGGCTGCCAAGAAAGAAAGAAAGGAAGAAATGTAGTGTTTGTACATGGCGTTGGCAGCGTAATTGGGACTCGAAAATAATTGAACTAAATCTCCTTACTGCTATTATTAGGCGTGAATGGTCCTGAGGTATCAACGGAGTGTATTTTTAAAACATGCCCCAAAGATGGGACACTCTAACTAACCCACGCAGACTTCATGCATTCGACGCTACGCCGTATTCGCTCCAAGCAAACCCTTTCGCTAGCGCCCACATCACACCATTCATCTCGGACGCGCACACGGGCTGCCCCCCCCCCCCCCCTTCCCTCCCTTCCCCTTCAGCACGTCCTCCATCCCGTTCCAACGCCTTCACCTTATAATCGGCACGTGTGTGCAATTCCTCACCGGGATCAAATACATTGTCATTCCATCTACTTCAGACATCTATTTAGGCCACGTTTATGCCCTATTTACGGCAACTCGGACCAACTTGATATCAGCCTAGCACCGACCGCTGCGAAGCCCGGCGTCGCACTCCCCCAGCGGTCACTGCTCTGCTCTGCTGTGGCATTCTCCTTCCGCCCCTCGGGTGCTTCCTATGGTGGGCGTTTATTGGGCGTTCCTATAAGGTATTTTATTTGATGTTTTTGTTTTCTCGCAATATGTTACAATTGAGTTGGCCCGCCCTCGTTTGTGATTTATCCAAACGCCTGACTGGAATGCGCCCTTCGCCAGTCCGTCACTGGGCAGTCCTGGCCTACTCCCGTGTTCGGCTCCCGACGTGTCCTGGGGCGAGGACTCGAGCAGCATGTCACTCGCGGTGGTACAGGACCTCTTCCTGCCTCGCCTCGAGCGGGTCCTGGAGATCCCCTCTCGCACAGTTCCCTGACCGCAGCTGAGGTCACGTCAGCGCCGTCAAGGCAAGTTTCTGGAGGGGGGGGGGGGGGGGGCGGGAAGCGAAAGAATGCCGTCTCTCGCTTTTCCGTCACGCGTTCAATAATCCCGAGCAGCCGGCCGACAGCTGGTGTTTCTTCTGGACGTGGCGGCCCCCTCGGAACAAGCGCCGCCGTCATGGCAGATCTGGGAAGGGGCCGGCATTTTGCTGCACCTGACCGGTCGTCGTGCACCGCTGGGCCTCACCACAGACTCGGTTAACAGCAGGCGTCCTTCTGCTCCGGCGGGTCGATCGGCTGCAGCGTCCGGTCGATTTGCGTCCACTTCCCAGACTCCGGTCGGCCTGACGGCCTTGTTTGGTTCGGACGGGGCTCCTGCCTCTCCAGACTTGTTTGCTGTCCATGCTCCGCAGAAAGGTCCAACCGATGCTGACTGGGTGGCGAGGGAAGTGCTGGCATCGAAATGTGCACGTACACGTACCGCTATTATACACATGTATACACGTACCGCTATTGAGATGATCAGCGGCAAGATGCAGTCTGCCTGCGCAGGTACCCCGTTGATTTGGAGCCCTCCTACCTACGGACCCAGAGACCCATGCAACCCATGACCCAGAGATCTGATACAATTTGGTGGACAGAGCGATTTTTACACAGACCATTCTTATTTAAGCCCATCATCACACTACACACAAGCGCTTGAATTTACTTCCAAATGTCAAAGGTGCGTGTGTGGTGCACGAAGTCACGAAGTCACGAAGTCACGAAGTCACGAAGTCACCTTTCAAGTCACTGGTGACGCTGTGACTGTGAGTCCCGATTTTCACCCCAAGCCAACGCCGGCCGCATCGTTCTGGTGTGCATTCTTGGTGCCGAGAGAGGGAATCCAACAGCGGCCCATGTCTTCGAAACCACCGATGCCGACTGCCAGGCTGCAGGCGCCCGCAGACAATAATACGATTAGCATAGCATGGGCATTACGAAGAACGTATCCTGGACGGGCCTCTCCCGCTCGCCTGCACGGGGTTTGCGGTGTTTGCAGCCGCCGCAAGAGTTCATGACGTTCAGGCGACTTATGTTGGAGGAAGGGGGACCGGAGTGGGGGCGGGGATGGCGTGGAGTCCAGAGTGCGGCGTGCAGCCGGGACAGAACAGCTCTATGTGTCGTCCCGAGGTGTCCCGTGCTGCTGCTTGTTTCAATCGTCGAGTCTGTCGATGTCGGGTCCCGACGTCTTCTGACCAGCAGTGTAAACTGGGCGATCCCCTATCTGTTACGACACTTTGGTACGCTCAGCTGTTAAAACTTGGACATTGCCAAGGACCCAAAATGCAAATTGCTGCCTAATCTAGACTGGGGCAAAATCGCACACATCGGGGCAGTGGATGCTGCTGAGATATCTTATAGCATGTATGTGCCTATTGACAAGAAGTACGACAAAAAATTGGCCAGCGAGGTTACTGTAGCCTTCTTATTTTGGCATCGATACCACGCGGCACACACATAATGACAATACACTTGCTAATGGATTTTTTATGTTTGCTAAAAGTCCTTTATCAAATGTACTGGCAGTCACTGATGTTTGGTCAATAAATGTCAATAATGCCAATGTCAATATCAACTGGAAGTTGATATTTACAAAATATAAAAAACCATTTGTCATCAACAAGCTTATGTCATTGCGTTCTTGAAACCGAGAGAAGTTTATTCAAAGCTTTACTGAAAAATGGTTAAGTAACGTGTAAAATTGTTTTGAAATGGTTAAGTAAGGTTAAAGTAAGTGGACCAAGAGAGAACAACTATCACTTGCCCATAGCGCCGCGGGGTTCCAGCGCCATAGTGGTGTCCCTCAGCAATGCTTTGGCAGGGGTGCAATGCCCTTCCTCCTGACATCAGTTTCAAACTCGTGTCAAAACGCTGCTCGCGCGAATTGTTAAGACGGTAATTCTTGATTCTGGTGACCCGTCCGGTCAGTGGTCACCAACCTTTACCTACTTGTCCTTCCAATCATCAGCATGTCTGTTGAGGTCATGTAAGTGGGATGTCTTCTGACTCACATTTGAGGGCCCCGTCCCTGCGGGTCGGGGTCCTTAATGTGACCTAAGCACAGGCCCACGTGCCCTCCAATCGGGCATTTCATCGGCGGTTCCGAAGGGCGCTTCGGGCCCTCGAGATGCTCCACCTAAAAGACTATCTAGGCCGAGCCCGAGTTCCCAGCTTGTTGTGTAGTGCGGTCCCGCTGACAGGCACAGCCCCCCCCCCCTCCCCCCCCCCCCCCCATTGACTCAGGCGCCGGGCTAATGTAATTCGCGGATTCCGGTCTGGTCCCCGCTGGGAAATGAGCCCTCAGTCCCAGACCCGACTCCGGAGTAATCTGGTGGAAAATCCGACGCCTGCCACGGTTGTTAAGGTTCATCCAAGACCGGGATACTCGGTCCAAGGGGCGCAGTTTCCCAAAATGGGGTTTCAGGGGGCTGAGCGGAAAAATACCCTAAATACACTTAAAACGGGTGCATCCCTGGCTTTAGCCCACTTTCCTCTCAACATAATTGAGCTAGAGTCCCCAAACTGAATAGGAAACTACAACCCTGCTCTAATCGTTTCCTCACCGTGATTCGGCGGAAGATTACGCCGTTGGGCATCATTGTCATTTGTTTGGCGTTGGTCGTCAAAACCAGGTCTCTGCTATATTCATGAGGTCGACGTGACATTACTTCAGACGTTGTTGGTCGTGTACGCCCCCGGAAGCACAGAGTGCAAGTGGTGCGCGCGAGCGTTAAAGGCTGCCACGGAAACCTCCGGCTGGTGGCTACAAACCGGAGTGCAGGTTACGGGGCAGCGCTCACGTTAGGCATGTTCGATTCGGCGAGCATTATTTTTATGTCCATTTTCGGAAGGTTACCGCTGTCAGTTTAGTCGGCTGGGGTCAGTCGTCAGGTTCTCGTAGCTGTTCCATCGAATATCCACGTCGACATAAAGGCCGGCACATCTCAAAGGTACTTATGAACGTACCGACTAATAACTTGGTCACGTATTTGGGTGCTACTATTCATCCGATTTCTTTCCAATTTCCGATAAGACGCTGCGGTAAAGACGTAAGACGTGAAAAAACTACCAGAGGGAAAAATGCCACTCAGCTTCTGACAAAGCAGCATATTATCTTTAATGGTTACCGAATTATTCCCCAAAACCTCAGAGAGGCCTTGTTAGGCCACTTCATCGTTGATAGAGGGTGACATTTGACCGCCCCGAACTGGAGTTGACCCACAACGTGTTGTACGGGTCAGAATCGGAGTTTTAATCCACCAGAACAACGTGACGTGAGTTGAGGTTGAAATCGAGTCCGGGAAAGCAGAGGCAAACACAGGCCTGCTCCTAGACACGAAACTCAGAACGATCGGACGCAAACGGTGTATTGAAAGCATTTAGGTTTCAAACCGCCGCAACATCGCCCAATTTGTATGGCGTGCTGCATAAAAAACACCATGAAAACACAAAAATGCAAGGGTGGTTTTGGTTGCGTTATATGATGATTCTTGAAGCAAGAGATATAGCCTGTTAGGGCGCAGAGATAACCGACTGGATCCAGCCCACAGATGGTCCCAGTGCGATGTTGATGTCTGGAAACTCTTTGCTACCGCAGCCCACTCCACCAATAGCCAGCCCCACTGCGTACCACCTCTCAGAGCTCCCTTCCCTAACCACGTCCATAAACACCGAGCCCTGGTCACCACCATTGATTGCACACATGAACTCCTCTGATGCGCTGATAAACTTGGTGCAAAATGACCCTTTTCCAAAAAACTGCGCTGCTCCGCTGACCCTAGTATAGTTACTCACACATTCATTGATATCAACCACCCGCAGTCTCGACCATTTCAGCGACAAAAGCGCAGAATTGTCACCACGATTGGGCGAGCCCCAGCCAGCAAAGAGGAGGTCCTTGCCCGCTGCCGCATTCGACGTCAGGGATGCCTCTGGGAGGCATAGAGGGTTCACCGTGCTAGAAAATGAAATTTTGGACGCCGCCTTCATCAGCGCGATGTTCTGTACGATTTTTTTCGGTGGCGCATATTGGGGATGCTTTACAACTTTGACAATTTCTAATTCGAACGGCGGCGCGGTAGGGTTGTCGTCAGAGGTATCCTGCAGATGAAGGTCACCGAAGCGGAGTCTCAGCTTGTGGACGTTGCGAGCGCAGGTCGCCCCCGTCAACACCCACCGATCGGAGATCACGACGCCCCCGCAGAGCGCCGCCTTTCTTCCGTCCTTTTTCGTTCTGATGATGGCTACCATCCAGGGGAAGTTGGCGGCGTTCCTGGCGAGCGCTGCGCCCAGATAAGCCGGCGGCGAGAAGCTGGTCCGTCCGCAGCCGACGTTCCGCGGGGCCTGTCCGGGGCAGCAGAGCAGCGGCGTAGCGGCCGCGTCCAGCCCGCAGACGGGTCGCCCCTGCAGGCCCGACCGCAACCCGCCGCCTGCCGGCAGCAAGTCGGGGCAGTCTCGCAGCGGGATGCAGAAGCCAGCCTCGCCGCGGGGTGTGAAGCACGCCCGACCCAGGTCGCCCTGGGGCCGGTTGACGGTGTTTACGGCGGCAGCGTTCGGGACCGCCTCATCTTCTTGGTCCAGCTGGAGCCGGCGTAGCACCCAGCCGATGTAGCCCGACAGCTTCGTGTAGAGGCCGGGTCGTTGGCCACAGCCCTGCGGGTCGCCAGACGACACGACGCCGTATGCCACGAAGCGGCCGCTATCCTCGTCGCTGCAGACCAGCGGGCCACCCGAGTCGCCCTCGCAGGCGTCGGCACCGCCACCCGTCAGACCCGAGCAGAACATGGCGCCGGGCAGGAACCGGTCCTGGTAGACCTCGGGCGCACCGCAGAAAATGTCCGACACCAGCGGCACCGAGACACCGCGCAACACCTCCGAGATATCTGCGTGCTCCGCAATGCGGCCCCAGCCGGACACCTCGCACGGCAGGAACGTCTCGTATTTAGAGTCGACC